AAGCTAATGAAACTAGTTCATAGATCAGCCACCAGAGGACTACTTCACCTTGCATTGGAGTGGAGATTAAAAACTGTGATTGTTGGAAGATATTTTAGTTTATTCATTTTTGCTACTGAAAAGTATAAACATTTGCTGACTTATATTGTTTGTTTTATAAAATTTACATTTGTCTACAAATAAAAGTGAAAGTGAGGGGTTATTATTTGATGTTTATCCTCTAACTTCTCTTGGATGTTTGAAACTGATATTATTACATATCTTTTGAGAATATACATAAAATGGCGGTTTGGCGGGAAGCGCTAGTGTTGTACCTTTGACAACTTAATAGCGGTGTTCCTTTGACCAGGTCAAAGGTACAACACATCATCTGTATTCAGTGTATAGTTATTACTGTTTTTTTTTTTTCTTTTTATATATGTTAATGTATTAATATTAAGCCATTGTTTTGTGGAACCTACAGGAGGTTGTCGCCAAACTCCACACACTGCCAAATAAAGTGGATAAGCACGTCAAAGAGAATTTTTCAATTTTGTAGTGGTCTTTTATCCTAAAAAATAAATTAAGCCATTTTTTAATCTTGATGAAAAGAACCAAGTTCAACTTTGTGTATCTGGTTTTATATTTTAAAAACTATCATGTAAGATATATATTTGTTTTTTTCTACCTGTTTTGGGCTGAAATCGATATGCTGGTGAAAAGTACAACACCCACACTGGTCAAAGGTACAACTGCATGTTGAACCTTTGACCACTATGTAACACATTTACTTTATCACTAAAAATAGGAACCAACTTGTTTATTTACCTACAACATATGGGAATGTCAACGGCAATGAATTTATCAATGGAATCTATCCACTAGTGTGACATGGATCCTGCAGAATGGCCTGTTTTTTCTAGTGGGGCCTTGATAAAAAGAAACTCACCAGCTTCTTGAGAGTAAATATTAATATTCAGGAGGATAGACCAATCCAAACAGTTTTTTTGGAAGAACAGAAAATTTCTTTGAGTTTAAAGAAGAAATATTGAGAACAGGAGGAGGTTAAGAGGAAATCTTATATGTATGAGAAGACTAGAAGAGAGACATAAGGAATGCAGATACACAGTCACTTGGAGAGGTGAATATAATATTTACTATCATTATAAGTTATTATTATTATTATTATTCTGCTATGCAACTTATTTCGCAAGCAAAAAAATCATGAAGAATATAAACACCCCCGCTGCAGCAAACCTACCGACTAAGCAAATTTCTATTTTTCTGAATTGATTTTCTATTAAATCTATCTAAATAACATTAGGTTTAACGAGTACCTAGGTTTGCTGCTACAAGGAATCTAAGAAAAGGTGTTTTTTTAGTAAAATATTAATAGCTTAGTATAAAATAAATAAAATTGCCAAGTTCGATCTAAATATATATCCATTTACAAGCACTCCACAACATTTTACAATATTCTCCTTAAGAATAAAATGGGAATATTAAATTTACAATTTTTTTAATTTTCTCTGTTACCAATTGTCGCACACAAACACTTTGGTATACTAAATTATTTGTTTTTTTAAACTCTTTAAAAAGGTCTCAAGAAATTGAGAAATTTTAAGTTTTGAGGGCCAAAAATAAGAAAAACCAATTTTTACGCCATAAAACCCCGTTCCCATGGTCCGATCATGCTGGTTTGCAAACTCATTCAAGTTTATCCTGCCTTACACCTTTATTAAACCAAATTTCATCAAAATATTGGACGAAAATTACTCAAGTTATTGCGTTCACGGACACACACACACACACACACACATATATATATATATATATATATGAATATATAATCTATATATATAAATCTATACATATATATATATATATATATATATATATATTATATTTGATATTGTTCACGTGTAGGGCTACTGTAATTAATATCTATATATTTAATACGCTAGGCATATTTTTGTCATAATTGTTTTGGAGTGGTGGTGCTACCGATCACCATGTCCAAGGTGTCGTTAGAAAGGTCTTAGCATGTAGTTTTGCCATCAAACACAAAAACTTTGGTATTCCATCAGGGCTCTGCCCCAGTGGCCTTCAAAGTTCTCATGTTATTCTTATGGAGAAAATGTTTGTTTACATTTGAAGTTGAACAGATGAATACTTTCAAATTGAAACTAATATTTGAAACAGCTGGTTATACTAAAATTTTGCACAAAATCAAAACATAATCAAAAAAACCTTTGACATAATCGAGACTATAAGACGTTGACCAGGACGGCCAATAGGAGGAGGCCAACAAATTTAAACTGGTAGACGAGAACGAAATACAAATAATATGACGTTGATAGCCGAATACAGCAAGTACCCTTCTGTGTTGGGTTTAAGTGTGCTTTCCAACAGCCGCCTGAAGATTTCACATTCAATTTAGGACTGTTGGACAATCACTGCATAAGCTGTTGATTTTGGAAGACAAGGAGGCGGGTATGACTACATCGGAAACAGAAGAGAGGAGGTTTAGATGAGTGGCAAATGCGTTGGGAGCAGAGTGTTTTATGTTAACGTTTTAAAGGTAAACGAACGTTTATATACCTAACATCAGAAAGAGACTGGGTGGAAGAGGAAGTGTGTAGATGTGAAGAAATAAAACCACGAGTCATGTATTTATAAATTGTTCACTTCAAGAGACAAATAGGAGAGAACAGGAATAAGTCTTGGATAAGATAGGTCTAGGGTTGAGAAAATAAAACATGATAAGTTACAAGGAAACAATTGAAATGTTTAGAAAAGTAGGCTAAGGAAAAACCAGGGATACATACAGACGTTAAAATTTAAAAACAAAGAAACAAACAAAAACTAAGAAAGAAAAGGAATGAAAACTTGCCCATGAAGGGGAGAGGAAAGGTTAGAGCGAATCTCAATGATCCCTATCGCTCAGGGCGGTATGGGGAAGGGAGTCGTGCTGTTAGGCTTTTGGACACGTGTCTGGAAACCTATTGCGGCTATGAGTAAGGCTAGAAAACACTATTTACAGTAAATTAAATGTTGATTATATCGATCTGTTATGTACATCTTGAGTATTTTCATAATCTTTGAGCCAAATATTTTAAAGTCATCAGAAATTATGACTGTTATTCGTTTTAAAATAATGCCTGTAATACTTAGCATTGCTCGAATTCGAGCAACAGGTACACTAGTTAATAAATAATACACCATAGTAGGCCTACCCTTTTTTTAAAATTATTTTTAATGACTGATGCATTTTAACACTAAGGTCATGGTCACAGTCTTTCACTACCGGTATGTTATTAAATCTAATATGTAAACAAAGAAAATAAATACAATCACATTTTAACTAAATCTATCTTGACTTGGAAAATTGTATAATTAAGAATATCATTATACCAATGGTTTTAATTATTAATTTTGTCTTAATTCTTGGATCTTATCATAAATTGGGTTTAAATTTTGTGTTTGCATTATGTTAAGGATGTTGCTTTAATTTTTTCTTGTTGCTAGATATATATGTAGGCCTGATTCTTCTTTTACATCCATCCTTTCTCCTTTTTTTCATATTCTAAAATTTTGACACTATCTTCAATTTTTGCATAACTATGGTTATATGAGAACAGAAAATTTCTTGAGTTTAAAGGAGAAATATTGAAAACAGGAGGAGGAGAAAATTAATAGGAAATCTTTTACTTATGAGAAGAGTAGAAGAGAGGCCTGGTCTCACAGTAAGGAATCCAGTTACACAATCACTTGGGGAGATGAATAATTTTTGCCAGTTATGCTATGCAACTTGTTTTGGAAGTAAAAAAAAGCCATGAGGAATATACACATCATGTTGTCACAGTGGTAAAGTAAACATACATATTGTCAGATCAAATAAATACATGCGAGAAATGTTTACTGGTAACAGCTTTAAGTCGGGAAACATTTGTAGAAAACACTAAAATAAGGCCGGCTTTTAAAAATGATAAAATATTTATTTTTACAAGAAGCGTTTATTATTTCAAAGCGCTATTAAATAGCGTGAGTATTTCAATAAGTTACATAAGCTTTAAGTCGGATCCTTTAAACTCATCTAAAATTATGACTGTTATTACTGTAGTTTAAAAATAACTCCTGTATAATACCGGTACTTGACAATTGCTCGATTTCAAGCAACAGGTTCTCTAGTATATGAGTGTTTGGAGTATGTCAATAACGCGAAAACTACTTGACCAATTGAGCAGATTTTTCTCCATGAATACAGACAATAACCACAGGCTTAATGAAGATGGTCATCTTTTATTTTAATACTCTCCTAGGGCTCTGCCCTGACAGCTTATTAAGTCCAATGTTGTTCTTCGAAGTAACCATGAAAACCACTCTAAATGCCACCCAACCTGTTACGGCAATCAATAGATTTATTAATACTTATGAAGTCAAACGGGGCGAAGCCTGCGGGTAACAGCTAGTTAAAGTTAAACATAAAGTTACAGTTGAGTAAAGCCTGTGGCAGCCAAAGTTGATGTTTTGTTTTCTAAATACTTAGTGTTGTATGAGTGGTATCTTAAGATTATTTGGAAATAAATTATATGTAATGACCATCATGAAACTTTAATAAATGTCTAATTAATAAAAGTAAATGCAGAACATTTCAGTTATTACGTTTGTATACAATCTTTTTAGTACCCCTCTGTGGGCACCCATGAAAGGTGCTACGCAGTTTACAGAAAGTTTTACATTCAGTTTTTGGCCAAGGGAAGAATCAGTAATCTACAACAGTATAACTCTGTGGAGGTTTGTAGCTACGTTCACTTTCATTCCTAAACTGGCTTTAATTTCAACATGGGAAAAACATTTTATACTGTTTTAGTGTAACCACAGGTAAATATTGGGGCAAACCAGCTCCATAACTCATATTTTGTAATTCTAGATTAGAGACATGCTTCATTCCTAGTTGTCAAATCACCTTTAAGGGGGTGAATTGCAAGGTCGAGAATGTGAAATAAAACACCAAGTGCTCTTTAACGAGCAGTCGCTTATTTGTTATTTATTCAAGAAGTCACATTCATGAGAAAGTCTACTTTAGCCATGACAAATCTGAAGCAGATGAATTTATAAATAATTGCACAAAATATAGACACTTAAAAAACTTGAGTATTTTGATTAAACTTTAGTAGGAAGATATTAAATATCGAGCACTGAATATACTTAATTGCTTGTAAAGAGCTACACAAATGTACAACAAACATAACTTAATATATTACATCGGAACTATAATACAAAATAATAATTAATCTAAAACATAAACACTTATCACAGAAAACACACAAAACGGTCAAAAAATATCGGTAATTTTTTACAAATAATCGATAGAATATACAATTCGTAAAAAATTAACAACAACTTAAATTCAGATGAGTTGAATGCTATTTTACAGAAAGCGTTGGATGATCTTTGGCTAGTCCGGCTCACTCCCTTGGAGACGATGCAGCTCTGAAACTGAATACGTGAAGCTTAAGCAAATACTTTTGTCTGGGGGACATCAACATAAGTATCAAAAGTAGTGTGTAGCTATTCAATTAGTTAAATAAAGTTACCCATAAGTACTTCAGTACCTACTTCATTTGGATTTTAAACTTATCCAACTTTTATTACCCCTGTACCTTACCTATTTACATTCTCCCCCAAAATATAATTTACGGAGAGAATATTGTTTTCATCAAAATTTTGTGTTTGAGATTTGGGTGGATATATTTGTTTTGGGTCCCCCTGAAAAAAAAAATGTTTTCAAATGTATGTCCGTGTCAGTGGTGGATCCAGATGGCAGCGACTGCCCCCCCTCGGGCATAATTTTATTTTTTACTGCATGTAATGTCAAAATTTTGCTGCGATTGCCAATGACAATGTCTACACAACCGGCGAAGACGATGATGACTTTTCTGTGACTGTGGGAGCGGGAGATGGTCAGAATTTAGCCGCGAACACGGAAGACTACGATAATGGACGATAATGTCTACAGTACCGCGCGAGTTGTTCATAATCTTGCCGTGATAGCGGAGGACGATGATGATGTTCAGTTACCCCCTACCGCGGGGGTTATTCAGGGATTTGCCGTAACCGCTGGAGACAATGACGATGTTGAGGGGGGAGGGCTTCAACTCTAATTTTGCCCTCCCCCCCTAAATATACCGCTAGATCTGCCACTGGTCCGTGTTTGTGTTTGTGGGTTGGTACAGAGCTACAGACTATACCTTTGGTCTGATTTGGATGACATTTGGAAGACGCGGCTACTAATCTCCAGGCGTTCTTTTAAAGCAATTGAGCCGCCTCAATTGCTTAATAAATTGTTTATTAATGTCAATTTTTAAAATTTCAATTTTTAATGGTGATTCCCCCAAAAAATCCTATAAAATAAGAAAAAATATATTTTTCACAAAAACTGCCTGAACGATTTTGCTTAAAATTTAGTACAATATAGTTATTTCAATTCCAAACAAAACGGCACAACCCCTATTGCTTTAAATATCACTGTTTAAAAGTTATCGTAATTTATATGATTTTTCCCTTTAAAGCCCATAAAATGACAGAAAAATTGGATAATAAAAACACCTTGACTGATTTCGATCAAAATTTATTATTGTACGGTCTTTAATTCTTTGAAAATTGTAAACCTCAATTGCTGTAAAATTACGGTTGTAAAGTTATTGCAACTCTTGTGATTTTCCCCTTAAAATATAATAGTTGCTCCCACTGCTTACCCATGACAAGTGTTGTTGACTATCTAATGGGAGAAAGTGTGTATCAGATTGCTGATACCGCTGATTTGTACTTTTATACATATGAATTATAAGTAACCTACACATTTACTGAGATGTCATTCAAATACTAATAAATATAATTGTAAGATTAAGTGTTGGGCAGTATTGAAATGTATATGGATCTGGAGTTTTTAGAACTAGCATAGAGAAGCAGTGTGTACAGAAGAAACATTCATGTTACTGTACACCTAAGTGGTGTCTAGTCAAATACCGCCCCTCTTGCTCTCATATACTACAACGCAAATGGTGGAGGAAGGCTCTTCCTTGCTAGTCACATGTCTGACAAAACGTACCGTACCAGAGCTGAAAGCTCACGGACATCCCATAAGCGTGTTTCCTCTGTATCTTACTTCTCTGTGGAACTAGGCCTACCAAAAAACTTTGTTTACACAACCCTCAATAACAAGAAAATCTCAATTATTACAATTGCACTTTTCAAATGCACTTAAAAAACCATTACACATACAGTTAAATGGCTACATAAAACAATTATTTTATCAAAACGGTCTCAATAACATGGCTGTTTTCTAAATCACAATGTAACTCAGAACCTCTATTACAAGTAGTTTTGAGAAGTCAGTCTTGATAAAATTACTCTATAATTTAACTAAACAGTTCCCACGAAAATTCACCAGAGGATGTTTTGGTTCATACTCAGGTCTTCTAACAATTCTATACTTGAAACCACCTCTCCACCCTGCTCCTAAACCACTCCCACTTTCTCAAAACATAAAGTTATCTTTTACAGATCAGTTGCTTGTCCAGTGTGCTGGGGACAAAGCCCTCATTCCCTCCACCCCTGGCTAATTCTGGGACTTATATGCCATTGGTCAACTCACAAATTCTTATTACTGAGCTGTTTTTATCTTAAGTCTAATATCTTATTGTCATATCAAAATATTTGGGTAGGTGAGTGAGTGGATAGTGATCAGATGATCCCCATATTGATTCTGAGAAAAGTTAGAAGAACCTTTGAAACTATAGACTATATTCCTTGATTATTGCAGGCCTAAAGAACCATGGTAACAAAGCTGTCATCTTTTTTATTCAACATACATCCTTCACTTGTCTTTCCCCTAAAAATACACACCCCTAGTGTGTCTGTCTCGTGGACATCTCATCTAAAGTGTAAATATTTATATCACAAAAGTAAGAATGATAAATAAAAAAATGATCCGTGTTGTCTATATTTAACATTAATTTTACATTTTATTCACCTGTTTTGCATAGTGCTACTGGTTCAGGAGTGTTTTGGTCACCTCAGAGATGGACAACAAAGGACTCCCGTCCTGTTTATCTGGGGGTCTCCTGCCGTTGAGCTGCAAAAAAACCTGTTAAATTCTTTGAAATTTGGAATAAATCAACAGTATAAAAGTCTAGACATTCATTTCTCACTCTGAAATCACTGGGGATCATTGATTTTAGAGAGTAAATGTAGAGCTTTCATTCTGATTTTAACAAGTGAGGTAGATGCGTAGGTGCTTTGTTTACCTATTGAGCAATAGGGATATCTATTGGTAGCCTAGCTTTAAATATACACAGCTTTCATCTATCTATTGTTGAGGACAATTTAAAACAAATTATTTAATTCATCGGTTTTTTCGGTGAGAGTCGTATCAAATCGATATACACTATGAGCCCATTCTAAGACGTGGCATTCTCAGTGGCAAAGTTGATTAACACTCAATGGCAGTCTCATGCCATCTTAGAATGGGGGAAACAGAGCTGGATTTTTACTTAGTGTAAATACTGATTTGACGCTGCTCTCACTGGTAAACCAAGAATTTAGCAATGACACCGACTACTTAAGAAACAAAACATGTTCTTATATAAATTTTTATTCTGATTTAATAAGTTATACTGTAGCCAGATTCAGCAGGTTTTTTTTTAAATAATATCAATCCCACAGATTTAAACAATTTTTTACTAAGTAAAGTTAACATTTTTGCTGTGGCAAAATACCTACAAATTTAGAAAATAATGACAAAACAACTTTATCACTCCCCAATACAATGTTATAAAATCCATCAGCTGATCAACCCTAACTTTCCTAGGAGCTATCTAGTAAATGTATTGGATGAATAACAATAGTATATTTCACTACTTTCGACTTGTATGTAAAACCATAGATAAATCATACTCCCTTAGTAGATTTGTCATCCTTACGGAACAGCTGAAGCCAATTTTATTGTTAGTTCTGTACGTCCAACTGTAGAGGTTATGTTTTGTTTACAATTTGTTTCTTGTTATTTCAGTAATTTAAAACCTCATTTAACCAAATAAAACGATTTAATCATAAGCAATAACTGGTCTCATAGTTATATAACCAAATAGTAAAGCACAAATCATGAAAATAACCCTAAAATAATAGAAACAAAATGTTGTCTACCCCAGCGATCGGCGTGGACGTACATGAACTAGACACGAAAAACAAGCTTCAATATTTACAATGAGATGAGGAGTCTACTTGTGTTGCTTAGTCTATGGTAAAACACTATCTCACCCTGAAATGGGAATTTCGTGACAATTATTGAACGATACTTTTTAACACAACAAACAATGAACTATTTTGTCAAAATTTTAAAAAATTGTCTGATATTTCGTAATCTATAAATTTTTGTAATTTAAACACAATAGGGCTGTATAATTAATTTTAGTGTAAAATTCAGCTGATTGAACATCAACAAACTGCAAAAGTAAAAAATTTTATCACAATGATTTTTTACACGTTTACAATAGTGCTCGCTTTTATTAAGCTAACTGGGAACTTCCGTTGTAACTTTGTTGATATCAGGCTTGTGTAGCGAAAGTAATGTTTATGTCAGGAAAAGCCAGCTGATTAAATTTTTTTGTTTTTGGTGTATGGCAATTGACGATTTTCGAAGATCTCAGCTGTATGGAATGGGCTATTTTCAAATACAGAGTGATGAAAAAATATTTACTAAACCTAAATATGCATGATTGGCATCTTAACTTTTACCACCCTCATAAATTCAATAACTTGAACTAAACAAAAGTACCATAAGAAAGTTCATTAGCATAAATATTCATATAAGAGCAGTGCAGTAAGAAATTATATCAATCATGCAAAGCTGCATGCAATGTTATAGCGTGAGATTTTTACTTATCGATAAAACAGCAAATTCTTAATGTTGTAAAAATACTACAGGTATTTGTTTGAAAACCCTCTATGTTGGTATTGGCAGATGTGTTAACCTAGAGTTAAAAGTATTCTTCCTCTGATTATTTTAATGTTTAAATAAGTTACAACATCCTAGTTGATCAGTTCAGTTAGTAAAGCAAGTGAAAAATAAAATAATGCAATATAAAGGGAAAATATATTTTGTTTAATGTTAAAAAATAAATGTATATATTTGGGTTACTGTATCTTTTTGTAAGTTATACATCCTTGAATAATAAAACATGTATAGAAATGAATTAAGATAATACTACTAGCTGTTTTATCAATAATCTTCCAAAACTATGACCACTTACCTTACCCTTATATTTTTGAGGAGAAAGTTTTCATTTTTAAATGATCAACAAAAAAATGTTCTAACAATATTATTACGATTTATAATGCTGGACTAAGATTGTGTTTCAGTATAATATAAACACTTTGATTATTTCCTGTGACTTTAAATCCTATACAATATTTAAACATACATGTTTTTATAACTACATAAGGAACCACCGGTTACAATGTTAAAAATATTGCACCTCTGTTTCCTCAAATAATTAATTATGTCCATCTAAACACCCTAATCATTCTACAGTTCTAATGGTTTCAATAAAAACAAATTAGCTTATTGAAATTTATCTTGGCAAGATTTCTTATTTCTCATTGCACAATGATTTGTAATTGTCAACTTTATCAAGGATAATTTAGGATGATTCAGAGTGTATATTCCTTACGCTGTACAACAATTTTGTTAGATCAACCTGGTCATAGTGATGTTAATACTCTATATATACATAGAAAGTGTATAGCACTCACTGGTGATGGTGGTAAGGATAGTACTGGTGATGTGGTGGCCATACCTCTGAGCCACTCTCACTATAGTGCTGTTGGTAGTACTTGGGACTGGGAGGCGTGTCCGGCTTCCATTTGCTCTCGTTCATCGAGTTCATCTCTGCGAGAGACTTGAGCGGGTCGTGGTTGCCAGGGACATACTTCTTGTCCTGGAGGTAGGGAGACGACACTCCGTTGGGCATCAGAGGCGTCCCAGGGTCTCCCGAAGGACTCCTACAACTCCCGGTCGACGAGGTAGGCGTGTGGTTCAACGTCGAGTTGCCCCCACTACCCCACATCAACACGGTCTGACGGGGCGCTTCGCTCGTCGGAGTGTAATGTAACATATTTACATCGCTTTTAATGTCCTCTAACTTAGGCGTAACTAAACCGTTCCCAACCGAAGGTGACGAAACGACGGGAGAAATATTATCGACACTTTTCCCACCTTTTTTACCCTGCAGGTCGCACAGAGGCACTGTCACTACGGGTGTCATGTAGTCCGAACACTTCCCCGTGACGTACCCTCGAGTGTCCATCACCGGCGAGTACTTCTGTTCCACCGACTGATGGCAACCGTATAATTTATCGCAGTCGGAACTCTTTGCAAGTTGATGTACAGGAGAAGTCTCGTAGGTCGGAAGGCTACTTCTCGGCGAGATATCCAGGAAGCCGTTGGATACGTAGGGCGTGGTAGGGTGATGGTACTCGGTGTAATACGTCCCCAACGGTCTGTACTGGTGGAACAGGTTCTCTGTGGTGGTGAGGAACCTATTGTCGTACAGTCCTTGGTGGAAGTTCCCTGAGTGACCCATGTAGACGTTGTCTGTCGCTGGTGTCGCAGGGTACGGCGTGCTGTACATGTTGTACGCTGCTGCCACTGCAGCCGCAGCGCTAGTGTCCGCGATATAGTCCACCCCTACACTCACACCTACCCCCACTCCCCCCACTGGCGTGTTCGGCACAGCTACAGGACTCGTGTGGTGACTAGCCAGTTTACGTTTTGTCCTACAGGTGGACAGAAAGTCTCTCAACTGCGTCTTGTACCTCCGGTTGAGCCGTTGGGGGGTGGAACATGTTGATCCACCGAGGACGGAAGAGTTTGACGGACTCGAGTGGTTGGTAGACGTGCTGAGCAACTGATCTGAGTCGCTGAAGTAACTGTTAGTCAGACCAGCGTCTAGATAACTTACTTTGAAATCCATTGTTCTTTTACCTAACAGATCTCTGCCCTCCTCCTCCCTGCAAACAACAACCATCAACTCGTTTAATTCTCTCAGCAAATGGAATTTAAATATTTTTTTATATTTTTCTATCTACTGTTTGTACCTAAGTACATATTTTACAAAATAGTGCTAAACTAAAAATACATGTTATAATATCTATCTATCTATACTATTATAAAGAAGAGGTGGTGTCTGTGTGTGTGTGTGTTTGTATGAGGTAATCTCAAAAACTACAGAACCGACTGGGCTCAAATTGCACACAAATGAAGCTACACAGCTTCGAGGATACATATAGAACTATTCCCGCTTCGATATTGTCCTAGGGCTCTGCCCCGTGGGCTTTCAAAAATTTGAGGTGAGAGATTTAAAAGTAAATATTGATTGATGGTATCCATGGTAACAAAGAACAAACCTACAAAGTTTAAAAATTTAAACAAGCAGAACTGTCAAATGAATTTTGTTTTCATAATTCCACACAGCTGGTTCAAACATATTAAATACTACACAAATATTAGAACAGAGAGGGTAAGGATTATAAATTTAAAATAATGATGTCACTAGCCCGAATGTAAACATTATTTAACATTACTTAAATGGAGCTGTGAAACCATATGTTAATGTAATTTGAATTTCATTAGTATACTAGCAGAGTACCCGTCCTTCGTACGGGGTTGGCATATAAGTATCAAATGCTTATAGCAGTTATGAGTGAGGACATGGTTTAAGAAATTTCGGTTCTTTTTGAAGTTCGTTCGCTACGCTCACTCACCTTTAGGTTGGAGCTCGTTCGCTGCGCTCACTTTCCTTCAGGTTAGCTCGTTCGCTACGCTCACTTGCCTTCGGGTTAGCTCGTTCGCTACGCTCACTCGCCTCCAGGTTGAAGTTCGTTCGCTACGCTCACTCACCTTTTGCTGTTGTCATAAATGTAAAAGAAATAATAGTGCTAGTGCTGAACCCTGTTGGTAATCCTTGTAACTTTTAATGCTATTGAACATCATAGAACAGAACCAACTTGTTTAATTGAAACAGCTGTTAAGATTCATTAATTCCATTTCTCATAAGGTTAACATGGGAAACTCCAGAGCCACTGGGGCGGAGCCCCGAAGGATTTTTTGGGATAAAAATATGCCTATATGTTAATCGGGAATGTGAGCTATCATCATGCCAAATTTCAGCCCGATCCGACCAGTAGATTTTGAGATTAGCTCATACAAACACACACACAGACACCACCTCTTCTTTATAATAGTATAGATTATTCTTTCAGTTACTTCATTTGTTTATGTTTATGATCTATTATAAGAAAATTAGGGCTATGGTAGATACTGTATAGGACACTATAGGATACCGTATAAATTAAAAGACCAAATTTTCTTAAACCGTGTCCTCTTCCATAACTACAATAAGCATTTATACTTATATGCAAACCCCGTACGAAGGACGGGTACTCTGCTAGTTGTTGATAAATTATATCTAGCCAAGATTACTACGGTACTTTTATACAACAGAACACTGAATTCATGTAATAGAAACGTTTAAATCACTCCAGTTTTTCATTTTACCACATTAAATCATAAATATACTTGGATAGGTAAGCTCTTTACAAGTAATGTCTCTTTTCTTCTATATACTAAAAATATGAATACATAAAAAATACTGCATTTTAAAAACATTTTTCTCTTATTAGAACTTCCCAGAAAATAAATCCTTAGTTCAATTTAGAACAGGTTATAGACAAAACTACAACAAACCATGAATGTGTGTTGTCCATCCGTGTATAATTTTGTGGTTTCTACTTTATATACTGCCTAAGGAAACATATAGTTATGTTTTATTTGGTATAGTTATAGTCCTATGACGTTTTATGAACATAGGAATTTTATGCCAGACTTACATGAGTGGACGATGTGTGCTGATGACAAAGTCTGGTTTAGAGTTCTTGTAGACTAACCGCGAACTCGTCTGTAACCACTGCCATTGCCCGTCTTTAGTTTGGAACCGGTAGGCGATCATCCCTGACGCCCCAGTTTTGAGTACTGTAAATAATCTTGGATGAAACATACATATTACATGTACTCTTAAAAACATGTTAGATAGAATACTATCCACTTGTCTTACAATGTATGGAAAGAAATCAGCTGTGGTTCTAAATCGGCACAAAACACAACAAAAAAACCCTATTTGGTTTCTAATCCAATAAAATTACATCTTGCAACAATATTAAATATATGTACATGTACACTGTACATTTTTACAATGGTAAATATTTATGAGTTATTTTTCATATTTTGTAGTTGATTTTGACTCTTTACACCAGACATCATCAGGTTTAATCGGAGATAAAACATACTAGTGGATTGTAGGGACATAAGTCCCTAAAAAGCTTAAATGTAAAACAAACTATTGTAATATTTAAACAAACTCATGTGTCAAGATATATATCCCTGTACACCATATCTTTTGTGTTCAATAAATAATTTGAATCATTCCAGAGGTTTAACTCTAAAGGCAGCAAACATACAAGTATTTATGAAAAATTTTAATAGGCCTAGTCATTTTAGATAACTTAAGTGAAAGCAGAATTTATCTTGATAATTAATAATTGTTGATTATTAAACGATCTTCACACAGTCTATCGGCAGAATTAAAAGTAGTATAAAAATTATAATACATTTAGTAATCACATATTTAATGTAAACAAAGCTGACTTTTTCAATCCCAACGCATTTAAAATGGACGATATTTTTTGTTATTTTCCATTTTCTGTTAGATTTGGACATAATCTGCTATTTTTCCCTGACATATTGTTTTGTATCCGTAGAGTTAGTTTTAACTAGTAAATAAGAATGAAGACCACGTACATTCTTGGTGTGCGCTAGCTACGTATGCGAGATCATCAAAGTGGACTAGATCATAACCTCCCATGTTGGCAAGTTCACCATCAGTGTAGCCGAGGAGCATTTTCCCCCTGGAACAAAAAATGCATCAGTGCAAAAGTAAAACAATCATATTAAATGTACACCATCACTCGTCAAAACCAGTAAGGTGTGTTAACTTGATTGCTCGAACCAATATCTCATTAGGTTTAAATTTTCTTACTTAAACATGTCCTATATTAACGTAAAAGTCTGTTTGTCTGCATTAAAGCCTTTAGACGAAAACGTTTCCTTTTATGCAACCCAGAGTTTACTTATATCATCCCATTTCCTTCAAGCACTGCCGCTCCAAAAATTTCCTTTCACTCTAAGATTTGTCATCATTTTAGGTAGTCTTGTTGTGCTTGACATTAAGTGTCAAGTGTGAGAAAAAAACTTAGTTGAATTGGCTTAAGTAAAGAAAGTAAAGCATTCAAATACCGTACTGTTTTTTCTGTCTTAAAAAAGTAAAATCCACCAGAGAGAGTAAGCAATACATGCTAGCTCCGCTTTGTAGACACAGTACCCTTTTGGATAAACTTTTCAACAATGCTGGACCATTCAAAGTACAATTTATTTACCAACTAGGGCTTCTGTGAGCCACTTCATCTGACAAATCAAATAAGAGAAGCAACAAAAAACAAAATTCCAGCAACACACACTCCCAAGTCAGCTTGCTCTTCAGATCAATTTGATTCCAAATTAGCTTATATCTGGTCCATGATGTGATGTTTACTTCATTAGTTTATTAAAATCGTCTTTTTGAATCACCATTATCATTTATTTATGTTTGTTTTTGTCAATGTTATTTAAAAAAAATGATTTGTATCATTCCAGAGGTTTAACTATGCTAAAGGCAGCAAACATATAATTGTTTGTAGAAAATTGTAGTAGTAATTTTTAGATCACTTTAGTGAAAGCAGAATTTGTCTTAGTTATTTGTTGATTAGTACAATCTTCACACACTCTATCAACAGAATTAATACCCCCTCTGCAGCAATCCTGCCAACTAAATTGAACGAATTGAATCTGAATTTATTTTCAATTAAATCGATTTAAAATACATTAGGTTTAACGAGTACCTAGGTTTGCTACTACAAGGAAACTAATACCATTGACTATTGGATACTGAAGTATTGATAGTCAAAGCTAATACTAGGCTAATCTTTTTGAATCACCATTAGCATTTATGAGAGAGAATTTTAAACGCTTTTCGTGGAAAGCGAATTGAAATTTATTTATTTAGTGAAATTTATTGGATATGCCAAAGGTTAAACCCAAAGTACAAGATACTGGCTAATAATTAACAGCTGTGTCTAAGGAATGTCGGCCTTAGTCACTAACAAGACTACAAGATCGCGCCACTCATCCTACACTCATCTCCATTCATACTTGGCTTAAAATACCTACTTTGTGTGGTCGTCATTTAATAAGAAAGTATTAAAGTATTATACTATCAACACAACCCATCAACAGAAATGTGGGCTCGGTCAAACTTTGTATTAGAGAAAGTCAATGATACTATATCATGGAAAGCAGTTCAAGCCCCTTACATTGTATTTTAGATATACCACTGATCAAACCTGTTCTTTCACACTGAAGTCTGAAACGATTACTTTTTAGCTACTTACCTTTGGTCCATAGAGACCAGGGCCAAATCCAGTTTGTGTTTGCTCTTGAACATGACCTCCTTATGGGGGATTTCCAGGAGCGAGGGGGGCCCAAAGGGGGTGCAGATCGCGAAGAGAGCCAGAGGGGGCTCCTCTGTCTTGCGGTTCTGTCCGTGCAGGATCTTGATGCGCCCCCTTATGTCGAGGCGCTAGAAAAAATACAAAAATTAGTTTGTATTAAAATTGTTGAATGTTTGGCGGTTTTTACAGATTCTCTAGATTGTGACAATGACTCGTAATGGAGAATAAAGTAAATTGTGTAGAATCAAAAGTATGCTCGGAATTGACAGTTATGTTGTTGAGGATTTTATATAGTATTGCTTTGCTTAATGCTAAATAATCAAATATCTTTTTAATTTGTCTTTTAATATCAGCTGCTTAGTTATTTTATTATGTTGTTCTAATATGTTCACAGTTTGAAGTGTTAATGTTTTAATATCTTTCCTTTTTACATCAATTATTAATAAAGTATTTTATGTATTTTATTCCCTCATTTCATCAGGTTATGGGCCCAGAAGACGTTTTTGATCTAATTCATTTTCAATATGTATAAAACTACATTAAAATGAAGAATTCTGGACTGATTGTGTTTGGTAAGATTTCTAGGCTTATGAACAATATTTTGTTACCTAATTTCTTGAACTGAATTTTTATGTTGTTTGACCTAAAATGGAAACTACACAAGAAAACACTAATACAACACATACTATTGCACCTACCTCAAGTTATACAGGATTGTCTAGTATGACAAATATTATAATGGGAGGAAATTGTAATGTTGAACGTCTAGAGGGTGTTTCAAATTATAACAATTGGAAGTTTTCAATGAAAATGGCATTAATAATTGATGGACTTTGGGATTGTGTATCTAATGATACTGAAATCAAAGATAAAAACAGGGATCAAAAGGCTCTTGCAAAAATTTGTTTAAATGTTTTGCCTACTTGTTATCCTTATGTTAGGAATGCTAACACTGCTAAAGAAGCTTGGGATAATCTCCAGAATGCTTTTGAAAACAAAAGTTTGGTTAGAAGACTTAGTCTTTTAAGACGTTTACTTAGAACTAAATTGGAAGATTTTAGCACAATGGCAGACTATGTAAATGGAACTTTGTCCTTAGTTCAACAGTTAGCAGACATAAATCACATTGTTGGTGATGAAGAAGTTGCAATGCTACTTCTGGGTGGTTTACCTTCAGAATATGAACCGCTTATTATGGGTATTGAAGTTACTCAAACAACTGTCTCAAGTGAGTTTGTTAAAACTCGTCTCTTACAAGAAGATTTTAGGAGGTCTGAAAATACTTCAACTGGAAGTGAATCAGCTTTGGTAACTAAACATTCTTATGCCAAGAAAATTGAGAAGTTGAAAGATGCAAAAGATAAGTTTAGACCACAGAAGAAAATTATTTGTCATCTTTGTAACCAACCTGGTCATATTAAGCATAACTGTCCTAATCTTGGCAATAATTCTCAGCACAGATCTAAGGCAAATTATGTTGGGAAACACAAAGAAAATGACAATCTATTGCTTACAACTGTTTTCCATACTGAAAATATAAAATCTTATGCATCCAAAGTTGATCATAATGATTGGGTAATTGATTCAGGTTGTACAACTCACATGAGTAATCAAGTGGTGAAAAATGGTAAGTTTGAAAAGAAGGAAGTTTTGGTGGCCAATAATGCAAAACTTACAAGTAATTGTGTTGGTGATATTGAACTTTATATAGAAAATTCTAATAAAGTTACTGTTAAGGATGTTTTATACATACCAGAACTTGCTACTAATTTGTTGTCTGTAAATAAAATTACAGAAAAAGGAAAAATAGTAGTTTTTGACAAAGATTCGTGCAGAATTTATTCAGAAAATGACTGTCGAGTAGAGGGAAATAGTGTCATTTCTGCTGTGAATGACGGTGGTGTATATAAACTAAACTTAATTGAGCCAACAAAGTTGAATGGTCACTCTGAATTCGAAGAAGATATTTCATCAGCTGCTCTTACAGTTGCTACCAAAGGTACGTGGCACCGTAGATTAGGCCATCTAAGTCATAAAGGAATGGATTTACTAAGAAATGGTTTAGTTAATGGAGTAAATTATTCAAAATCAGAAAAGGAGAATACTTGTACCGCATGTATTGAAGGTAAGATAACAAGAAAATCTTTTCCTAAAGGTCAAAGTATCAGAGCTACTTCATTACTTGAGCTGATTCATTCAGACTTATGTGGACCTATGTCAGTTAAAAGTTGGGGTGGATCTCTTTATCTTTTAACATTCACCGATGATTTCTCAAGAAAAACTTTTGGCTATTTACTTAAACACAAAAATGAAGTTTTAAGTAAGTTCAAAGACTTCAAAATGGAAGTAGAAAATCAAACTGGCTTTAAAATCAAGCGCTTGAGAACTGATAATGGCAAGGGTGAGTATGTTAACAAACAATTTGCAGATTTTCTACGTTTAAATGGCATTATTCATGAGACCACTATACCTCACACTCCAGAGCAAAATGGTGTAAGTGAACGTGTTAACCGAACACTAGTTGAAAAGACAAGATGTTTACTTCAAGATTCAGGTTTAGGAAAACGATATTGGGGAGAAGCTATAAACACAGCTATCTATTTGAAGAATCGTAGTCCTACAGCAGCTTTAAAGGATGCAACACCAGAGGAAGTTTGGACTGGTTCAAAGGTTGATCTAAGTCACTTACGGGTTTTTGGCTGTAAAGCTTATGTTCATATTCCCAAATGTTACAGAAAGAAACTTGACACAAAAGCAAAGCCTTGTATTATGGTTGGATATTGTGAACATTCCAAAGGCTACAGACTAATTGATCCTAAGAAACCTTATTCTATAATAAAAGCACGTGATGTTGTTTTTGTAGAAGACCAATGTCATACCTCTGATGTGAAAGATGACCTGAAAAATGAAAGTCGACAAGTTGAATACACTGTTATAAACAGTAGTACAACTGAACTTGTGGAAGAACCAAACAATGATATAACATCTGTTGACAACGAAGAAAATCTTGTTCATTCTAACAGTGAAAGTGAACAGGAAGTTTCAGAAAATGAAAATTCTTATCTAGACAATTCACATGATGAAAATGAACAGCTAGTTTTGGAAGAAGGGAATTCTTTGATTGATGATAAAAGACCTGAACGTGATCGCAGAAAACCATTATGGATGAACGACTTCGTTTCATATCAAGCTGTCGATGTTTTTGATGAACCGCAAAATTTCAATGAGGCAATTGAAAACAATTTTAAAGAAGAATGGATGAATAACATGGATAAAGAGTATAATTCTCTAATTAAGAACAATGTTTGGGAGTTGGTTGATCGTCCGAAGAATGAAAATGTGGTTAAACGCAAGTGGGTTTATAAAACTAAGAAAAATGTAGATGGTGATCGTGAGAAGTTCAAAGCACGTCTTGTTGCTAAAGGTCAAGAATATGGTTAAGAAGTGCATTTAAATTAAGTATTTGCCAACTGAAAATATGACGGCTGATATTTTAACCATTTCATTGTCACGTGAAAAATTTAATAACTTTGTGACGGACTTGGGACTTAAAGACTCAGATTAAATAAAAAAAAAAAGATGTTTGATTAAGGGGGAATGTTGAGGATTTTATATAGTATTGCTTTGCTTAATGCTAAATAATCAAATATCTTTTTAATTTGTCTTTTAATATCAGCTGCTTAGTTATTTTATTATGTTGTTCTAATATGTTCACAGTTTGAAGTGTTAATGTTTTAATATCTTTCCTTTTTACATCAATTATTAATAAAGTATTTTATGTATTTTATTCCCTCATTTCATCATATGTACACCAAACGTTTTACTATTTTCATAAGACACTGCACTTTTGAATTTTAAAAATCAAATAATTGACCTGGTTAAGGAATTGGAGGAAAGTAACCTGTTCTGTGAGTTTGGAGAAGAAACTTTTGGTTGCCCCCCCCCCCCCCCCCCTCTCTTCCATTGGTTGTGTTTCCTGGTTTAGGCTAAAATATCCATCCTACAACCACCCAACACATAGCCCTACCAGATACTAATTCATTTCCTAAGAAATCCTTATTTCATAGCCTAAAAATTTTTGAAAAATCATAGATTACAACTGCCACGAAACATTTCTACAACTCTCTACACTTACCCGTCTCCATCATACTGGATCTAAATTGAAAGACACTACGAGTTCAATTGGCCAAAAAACTCGTGTCTAATTTCGAGACCGTCTTAAAATAAAAATTAAACTGTTAAGCGTAAACATTTCAGGAAGCGTTTGATTGAAGGTTTCGCGCCGCTTCCGCCGAGAGATGCGCCATTAGAGAGATTATAGAGATTAGCGGCGGCTTAACGGAAACGGCGATACGTCCATTTGGACCAGTACCGGACTGACCCGAAGTGTGCCTCGGGATTGCTCGAAATCGAGCATTGTACTAGTTGTTTTGCTTGCTCTTTGCACGGGTAACCTTTTAAATGGTAAATTAAATTCACCACCTGTGATATAAGGTTGTATAATTTTACGATCATCGTCGGGTGATGAAAATAAAATACCAATTAAATAAAACTGTAAGCACTTTAAACCTACGCATGAAGCCGCTTTCGGCAGTTTCTTATGTCCCAAACGTTGTCATATGAAAAGCCTGGCCATTTAAAAGTTAAAGCACAAGGGAACCGAACCACTTATTTGGTCTTACAAATTGTTAAATTAATTATCTTCATTACTTTAAAACTCACACAATATATATTGTTACATATTTCATGAATTTAGTAACATAAACTAAAGTAGGAAAGTATTTTCAATAGACACATTGTAATTTCGCCAATGAGAATTTTAATTTTAGTTAACAACATAGGCGTACGTAACGTGACACAGTTTGAAAATAAGGAAATAAAACAAAACCCCTGACCGAAAACCAAACGACAACCTACAAAACGTAGGTGTCCTGCAAATTGCGTCAGTAAATTGAAGGCAAGTGTTCACAGAATTAAATCCTAAATTTCCCATTTACAACGAAAAAACATGACACACTCTGTATGACTTGAATCAGGTCCAATCTTAACATCTTAGATGTAGGTTTTATGAAGCGATGGTACTGAAAATTTAATTATTTTCACGGAATAGGTAAACACATTTCGAAGACACATTGTAAAAACCACTCCACAATTTCTTAGATAAGTTTCGTTCATCAAAGCAATTGCCAACAGTTAATAATATTTGGTAGTGATTCCTTACTTAAATGGCACTTTTTGAGATGTTAGAAAAAAAGTAGTAAGCCAAAGACGATACATTATTCAATTATGTGTTTGTTTTTTATCAATTCTCTTCACGTCCTTGAGCTCGATTAGAAGCCATAAGACTTCTCTGGCACATTCTATGACCTCAAGCTTCAACTTACCAAGACGTTGTTGAGACCAAAACACATCAAAAGAACCCTCCATAGAACATTCACAATCACAACTTTTAATTATCAGCGCATCAACTTGTTCGAGACCTTCCATTGGAACAAAAAGTTCTCTAAGGAACATTTAACTTCCACAGTTACAACCTTCATCTTTTCAATGTAACCTATAGGAATATTCTTTGTAAGCCATCAACTCACCAGGAAGCCGGAGGTGTTGTCCAGGAGGCAGCGGAAGCGCACGGTGAAGGATCGCTCCAGGAGGTGCAGTCTGTCCGGCTGCAACGCCTCCTGTAGGGTCAACCCCGCAGACTCCGCGGGGAGGTAGGAGTTCCACATGAGTTGACGTTGAAGCTCCTCCCGATCCTCGGAGTGTACCAGTTCGTACACCGACTGGTGGACGATGTCCGACTGTCAACAAGTAGACCTATGGTTAGGGTAGTCGAATAGCAAGAGCGGTAGAATTGGAGTTGGAGATGTTAGAGACGAGGTAGACTTAGGTGGAAGGTCAAGGTGGAGGTGGTGGTAAAGTTTGAGGTGGAGTACGTGGAGGTGGACGGTGGAGAAGGTAGAAGTAAATATAACGATGCCTCTATGTCAGACAAATGCGCCATTGGCAAGTGCATAGTAAGGAGGTCAAGGTGGAGGTGTTCTGTGTACTTACATAAAGGTCTAGCGGGAAAATTAAATTTTTAACACTAGGCGTCCGATATCATTCATTTTCATAAAATAAAATTGTAATATTTTTGCTGTCCATCTATTAGAGCACTTTTTGGCTACTCTTCGAATCCCCAGAGACGAAGAGGAATTTTATATAGCTCGGTATTCATCTTGATAATAAACCTTTAGGTTTGACACTTAGAAACAAATGGTCGCATGATGAGGGGAAAATGACGGTAAGAGAGGTCTTTTCAACTTTTTTGTGATCCAATGCTAAAAATTTACAAATAATAAATACCTATGAATAATTGAGATTGTTTACTACAAACAAGTACTGTACTTGAATACTAGAGAGTTTACTTTATACATACTGTACTCTCATACGCATCGTAAACCAAATCCTTTGTTTCTGATCAATTACTTTCCAATTACTCTACCAGGTCCAATCTCATCTGGGGTCATAATGGGGACTTATGGCTTGCTATGGACAATAGACTTGAGTATTACGTAGGCTGCGTGTATAGACATCATGAACAACCTATGCCTGGACCTGTCTATACAAAGTCTGGTCGAGCGGACTGTCATTACTAATCCATACTCGCCATGTACTAAACACTACACAATCCGTGGACTTAGAAACATGTTGCTAAATTGAATCTGATATTTTTTGTAATAAACGCATATGGATTATAGTTTTGATTATTATCGGATCTAAAACTTCTACAAACAAAACATTAAGTATTGAAATACAATACAAAACGTAACACCACACAGGAAAGGACTAAACTTATCAATCCGATTACTCAACTGACCCAAAAACCAAAACACCCGACCTTCGTCGCTGCGCCGCGCCCAATAAAGGACGCCACATAAAATACAGCCACAAAAAGCATAGTGTATTGTTCACAGGGGATTAGTATGTTCTGGGCACCCCGGGGTCTAGGATGACAAGTGTTATATAAGTACTACAAATTATTGAAATGTAAACAACGTCCACGCGTCCTCATGTTAATGTCTCCATTACCCGTTGCCTAACTAACTAGGCTCTTGTAGTTTATCGTGCAGCGATGTGGGGCTATTTTGGCTTTGGGTGTAAAGTGTTTTGATTGTAAATAGGGTTTTGGTGAAAGTTCTTGAGACGATACGTTGATTGGAGCGTTGTTCTTGAAGGTTTAGTGGGTTGAAGAATTTTCATCTTGCTACAGGAAAACTCAAAATTAAAAGGTTCAAATGTTTGTGGATGTGGTGGGGATTAAATCCGTTTCTTACACACAAGTCTGACACTCTAATTTCTTTTCTAGCAACAAGCACCACACCCATAATCGACTTATATCTAACTTTTAATATAAACATCGTAATCAAATAGACTGTGAACCGGCAACTATGCGAGAAGGGGATTCGGATACAACAGTGATGTAGATTTTTGTAGATTGAGCGAGTAAAATGGTGTGCGGCTGGTGCGCTGGTCTAGCACAAATAATTTATTTTAGGTTCTGATTATTCTGATAAAAAATTCAGATCTGAATTAGGAAATGGGACGATTTTTGAGTCAGTTTATGATCAGTTTCCGAGTCTGATTAAAACCTGATCATAATTTTGTTCCATTTCCTGATTTAAGTCTGAATCTCATTCTGATCCAAATCTGGTCAGACTCTGAATATTTAGATGAAGTGTGAGCACATGACTTCTATCCTAGACGCCGGGTTTGAATCCAGCCAATACTAAATGGTAATTTGCTGTGTAAAATACCGTGACCATTGCTTCAATATAGGCAAAAATAAGAAAGAAAAATACTAAAAATTATCTCAGGCTTTGAGAATTTCCCATGAAATACTCGCTAACAAAATCTCTAGGATAGGATAATGTTTGGCACGTTGAAAGTAAAAATTTCATATAAAGAGAACTGTCTTAAGTTTATTTTAAATCACTGGAGAGATCGTTTTAACTCTCGTCTAACGCACGCACTTTTTACTGAGTGAGACGCGAAATACTGACTGTAAAGCCACTGAACATGTATATTATACTAGTGATAATGTATAGTAAATTAGAGTAAAATTTAGTAATACTCAAAGAAATCTTTAAAATCATGAAAAATGTCATTCAAAAAAGTCGATTGTTTTGACACACATTTCTCTCGCCGTTACACTAATCTTTCTATCGTGAAGTTGTGAGTAAAACACGTTTTGATGAGCGTTAAAATGTGAAGTTGAGTAACTTCACGACGGTGGCGGTTGATGGTTGGTACGACTGTGTCATGCAGCTGACATTACCGAAGCGCGGGAACCTGCGGTAATGAGGATAACTGTCAAATGTCCGAGAGACAAAGCCGCTGCAGGTTCACATGGAAATTGAGAAGCTGCAGAACACTAGGAGTTGAACACCATGGAAATGCTGAAGGATAGGCTTGCAGTGAGGTAAGTGTGGAAATCAGTATAATGATTCTGTAGAAGAGTCGGCCAACAAGTTGAATAGGCCCACTATGGGACACTGAAATGTTGGAAAAAGTTTGGAAGTGACGAAGAGATGAAGGATTTGAAAATTATTTTAAGGATCAGAAGAAAGTAGGGTTCAAAACGATGGATGATATAAAGAATCTGAAAAAAATCATGACATGAACATCGGGAACTATGCACGTTATAGGAGAGATGTTGAATAAGCCGGAAAGGAGCTTGAAGATTGACGATGAGGTTGGGATAATGATGCTGGCAGAGATATTTGAAAATATATGTAATAGTGAAAAACAATGGGAAGAAATACTAAGATAAAAACGAGTAGATGTTATAATTTGGGTGATATCCTCAAGTTTGCACTCGGTTATCAAGAATCGTGTAGAGGTTCAGTACTTGTGGACTTATAGAATCTTCGACACAATATCAATGTATGTTGCTTAAATATGCCTTACTTGATCATAATGGATCCACCAGAAAATAATCAAGTCGCTTTTAGAAGAAAAAATGCCCAAATAAAATAAAAACCTAATGCTGTAACTGTTGACAAACACAGCAAATCATGCCATATCGAACGATGAACGTGTTGGAACGCCTTCGCTTCTAAATGTGTCATATCTTACTACTTTTTATCTCACTTTTAGTCTTCGGATGACATAACATCCTCGTTTACATGTTAATTTATACCAAGCAAATCTATTGTTCAACTAAGCTCATTTTTCAGTTCTAGGAGTGCAAAAAGGAACAGGCGAGAAACTCACAGCCAAACTCACCGAGGCAAATCTCACAGCTGACAAATCCCGCCTTGAGTTTCACAGTGTAATGGTTATAATCCAGGCAGAGGCAGATTTTGCTAATAAGCCTGCTCGAGGAAGCAGACCGTGGGCAAATTTATTTGATGCCGTGTTCTCCAATTACGGCACACCTACAATTTGCTGCTGAGCGGTGAACAAGGCGAGCGCTCATATTTGTTCTGCTAATTTGAAGATTGAAAACTAGGATCTATGTAAAGTATAACAAGGATAGCTTGCAGAGTTCACACGCTAAGACAAGGATTCAGTGGGGAAGACAAGTTCCGTTGGGCAATCTTTTTTTCTTGTGCCGGTAAGGGTTAAGTCAATTTCTCAAATTTGGCATTTGTTTGATTTTGCCTGGAACCTCTTCGTTTTTCCACCTGGTGATCCCATTTAAATCAATACAGGGTATCTGTGATGTCTTTTTTTGCGTTGTACCAGATACATTTTTTTATATTTAATTTGTTGAATTTACTTTTGAATTTTTTCTAATTACAACTCTATTTGAAAATCTAAAATCTGTGATTAAGATTAAATTGGTATTCGACAGACTGTTTACTAGTTTTAAGGAGGAGTACAGTTGATTTATTTTTCAAGATATACACCATAGAATTTTATTCTTTCTAATTTCGAGTTTCCTCTCATTTTGACCTGAGATAAAAAGACGTAGTGAAGATTTGTAGGAATTTGTATTTAAAGCATATTTTACAAAATTCGCATCAGAATACTGACAGTCACAATTTCTGAATACAAATACAACTCTCAGATGTTTAGAAAGGTACCGTGTTAAAAAGCCTTGTAATACACACTATTGCAAAGGACTTGAGCTTAAAACATGGGATTTTTTTCATTCGATCCCTCAGAGCAAAATTTGAGTACTTCAAGCTCAAACAGCTTTGCTTGGGTTGAAAAATATCTTTCATTCAACAACAGATCTTTTTGAAGTTCAAAAATTGACCCTAGTGTCCTTGATAATTGTGCTTTTAATGGCCAAACCAAAGAAACGGCTGATCTCATTCAGTAACAAACGCGACAAAACGCATCCGGCAGAACAGTCAACATACACTCATCTTCTTGTGATTTGAGTAATCAAATAGTTCACACAAAATCGTATCAACAGATTTGAGCACCTGCTAACCACATAATGAAACACCCAGTATGTGTCACCTGGGTAGTTAACAGATAAGCCCGGTAGTCTCTCAAGTGATATGACACTGAACCGACTCACATGATAAGCGCAGTCTGACGGCTCCGGCTGCGTTAAGAATGGGGTTTATACTGATTACGATGTAGTGGATGTAGACATTAGCAGATGACCCGCTGACCAAGGCTAGTTAACTGGTGGGTTTATAGCCGCTGAGGGTACAAGTGCCGACACCACTGGGGTGCTGGGTGCCGACTACAAATAAACAACCGATTTATACGATGTTATCGTCCTTACAGACCGTGGGAAGGGCTATTAGGAGTTATTGACGATGGTTATGACGGCGTTGATTGATCTGGTTAGCGCGAATGAGGGAATTGTGATGTGTGAAATCATTGTTGGATGAAGTGTACGATCGATGTGGACAATTGTTGCTTTTGTGTAATGCTTAGCATTGAAACAACAAGATGCGTAATGATCTTTTAGTTGCGTCGTTCAATATGCGTCGTCGAGATGTCTCAACCATGACCATCGTTGATAAAACTCGAGAAAATCATCAATTGGATGTGACGCAGTTTATAGAAACCGTAAAATTATTAATCAGCATTAGCTTTATAACTACTGCAAGGACACAGGACATATCGTAATGTCTAGTATGTATTTGTGCGATAGTGGTCGCATAACAATCAAAAGAAGGATCGATAATGAGAAAGGTCAGTAGCTTTTAGCGAATTTCCCTGTAGGGAAGTAGCTATTACCGTAGGTGGCACGGTAAGACCTAGACCCGGGACCGATTTACTTTTTCATTTTGATGTCCCCAGAGGCCAAAAACACTATTCGTTTAAATTTTTATATATGTATATATATATATATAGACTTATATATATATATATATATACGTCCGTGAACGCGATAACTTGAGTAATTTTTGTCCGATTTTGATGAAATTTGGTTTAAAGGTGTAAAGCGTGATAAACTTGAATGAGTTCGCGAACCAGCACGATCGGACCATGGGAACGGGGCTTTACGGGGGTTTTATGAGGGTAAAAATTGGTTTTTTTTCACATTTGACCCTCAAAACACAAAATTTCCCAATTTTTCTTTAGACCTTTTTAAAGAGCTTAAAAAAACAAATAATTTAGTATATAAAAGTATTTTTGTTCGATTATTAGTAACGGAGAAAATTAAAAAAATTGTAAATTTAAAATTCCCATGTTATTCTTATGGAGAATATTGTCAAATGTTGTAGTTTGCTTGTTTATAAATATATTTTGATCAAACTTGGCAAATTTATTTATTTTGTACTAAGCTATAAATATTTTACTCAAAAACACACTTTATTAGTTTCCTTGTAGCAGCAAACCTAGGTACTCGTTAAACCTAATGTTATTAAAATATATTTAACTGAAAATCAATTCAGACAAATGGAAATTCGCTTAGTCGGCAGGTTTGCTGCGGCGGGGGTATTTGATAGTTCGAAACTGGACCCAGCTGACACTGATCATTAGACTTTAAATAAATTATTCTGGCTAATGAAACAGCTGGTAGTCAGCATTTTTTTATTAGTCCCTCGGTACTCAGATGTAAAATTATACATCTTAATTCGTACCTTGTGACATATCTTAACTTAGACAAAACCAACATTACCTCTTTAAACTAGTCTCTAAAAAAACATCGAACGCAACACTCCTCTACACAGGGTGTTTCAGAATTCGTGTTTTAAATATGATATTACAGTAAACTTATCCAAATATCATATTAAAATGTCCGGAAGGAAGTCCTTAATTACTCAAACAGCGGCCACATTGTTTTTCCCTTTATTATTTTCTCATAAAAGTGGTTAAACATACGAAATTAAAACTTTGAACAAACATTTATGACAACTAGATAAAGCTACAAAAAAATTATGACAATTTTTTCAAATTCATAAAACAAAATGGCCATTCAAACTTTTTATACCAGCTGTTGTGAAAGTCAACGTATGTTTACAAACTAATCAGCTGATTTTATTGTTGCCTGAAAATGATATTATTTATTCAATGTAGTCAGTTCCTTTAACTTATACACTTATTTCAATCGTATTTCTATAGTGATGCATTCACCAATGCAGGTCTGTGTATCTCGGTTCGTTTCCGCAGTTCCTAATGGCGGTACTGTACTGCACACTGCACCGCGCGGTAATTACCCCCGTTGCCGTGGACCTGCGGACATGGACCGATGACAGACTCCCACTCCCCCGCTTAATTACATTAGATTGTCAATGTACCGCGAGATAGCACTGATCACTATCGGACTTCCTGCAGCTGCCGCTAGGCGCGCTGTCGTCTGTCACCCCCGCGAAAATGACCGCTTCCGGTACCCAGTTCCCGCCAGTTGTATGAGTCCAGCGAAAGGTTTGCGAAACAATATCAATGGACAGCGTTTTCGTTCACATAATAACGTAGTGGAAAAAGTACTGAGGTAATTTTTATGTTCGTTAATCTCCACTCCTTGACAGAAAGCAGAGGGAATTGATATGCATAATGTTTAATGAAGTGGATTCCATTTGTTTTTCAACATATCGAACATTTAGTTCTTGTACAGGCAAGGCTTCTGTATTGATTGGCTCAAAATCCTTAATGGATGCTGTCTCCTGAACCTTCATCTACCTGGGACTGTCGTGTCCCGGGCCTTCAACATCCATTATACTAAACCATAGATAAAACACGGGCTATGAATGATGCGCACAGACCTACACTATGCTTTCGTTTACTGAGAGTATATTGGTACATTTCTCAATAGTTCATATGGTAATGGCAATTTCATTTAGATGGGTAACACCCTGAAGGTAGGTAACAACAGACAAACCTTCTTTTCAAACTGATGACATAACTTATGATGCTGTACTACAAATCCAACGATCAAATTGATTTTAAAACTAGAGTAAACTGGATAAGGATAGTGCATATACTAAAATAGTGTCCATCACGTCTCTTCAGCCTAGTCGAGTGTAAAAGACTCACTTCAGGCCAAAGTGATGAGAAATTCTAGTTTTTAAATTCATTCAGAAATTAGTCACTGGCGCCAGTAAATCCTGAACTCTCACGAAGCAGTAGCTCTTCTAGAGTGAACGACCTACCAATGACTTGACTGCAGTCAAACCAAACCCAAAACCAATATGTGGCCTTGCGCAGCGGGACGGCGGCCGTATTTGAAATACAGATGAGGGTAAAGAACGGGCCAGACCATCCAATAAATCCTGGCCAATCAGAAGAAACAAATAACAAACAATCATAGTTAGGGTCGCGGGGTCAGTTTTTGTAAATCATACTCTGAGCTCTTCATTACATTGCGCTACCCACGGTCTTGCTTAGGTTTTGGCTTCACGGTTCCGTTTGGGCAAGGAAAGCTAGTTAAACATGTTTTGATCTATTGTATATACTACGTCTCTATAAAAGCGTGTTGTTGATCATGTAAATAATACTGTGTTATGATTCGCATAGAATCCGTGAGAATTATAAGGAGGTGGTGGACTGAAACACATAGATCGATGTTTTACTAGGCATAGCATCTGTACAGAAACGTCCCATATACTTGTTGGTTTGTAAAAATAAATACCCTAGTTCTTTTTTGCCTTGAAGTTATTTTGTAGTCCTAGTAGTAGGGCTACAATGGTTAACATTGCATTCTTTTATTTTATTTTAAGGACAAGCTGTAACAATTTTACAAAGACAGTTACCTAGACGGTGACAAAAATTTGTATTAAGTTGGTTATTCTTTGTATTAACCCTGACCTGTCCAATTCCTTAAGGCAAAGGACTACGGACGGAGAGATCATGTATCATGTATGTATGTATGTAAAGGTTGGAATTGATATGTCTCTTACTTTGCATTAATTTATGCCTGAGTTTAACATAATAAAAATTATATAAAAAATCAAATATCATAATTTCCACCTCCAAACGTTGTTCCTTTTAAAGATACTGCATTGAACTTCGTAAGAACAAGTGGTCTAATAAATGGAATGGACCTTTTCGTCAGTATAGGTAAACTTTAACTGGTCTTACTTAGGTCATGCTAGGTAGGGTACACACAATGTGAGGAGTTTTAGGTAATGATTTAGGTTGTGATGGGTAGGCCTACTTAATATTTATATTGTAGACTACTAAGATTTGTGTGAAGTTTTGAGTTAGGTTTTAGGTCATGCTGGTACACACAATGTTTTAGGTAAGGATGGGTCTATAAAACCTTACATATCCTACAACCTACCTGTACATGTAGGTTTTAGGATATGCTAGGTACACAATATTTGTACATTTGTAGGTCAGGATTAACATTTAGATATATATCAACGATTTGTGGAGTTTGAGGTTATGTTAGGTATACTTGTGTTTTACCTGGTGGAAGCCGAGGTAGTTCTCGATGTTGTGCGTAGCGAAGAACACTTCCCCCTCGCAAGTAAGCATCAGGAGAAACCCGTTCAGCGCCTGCGTGCAAACACTGGTTATAGCATAGAGTACACAATATAGAAAGTCATAGAGTATACAGTTTGTGACTACCTTGCAAACACACATAGATAATGATAGTGTGCCTACGGACACACATCGGGTATAGCCATACAGTTCACCATAGTGAAGGCGAAGTCCATAGAAAGAGTTGGCTGAAATTTAACACAGTAAGCACACGTAAGGTTCGTATAAACAAAGAGAATGTTTTGGGGAAATGTTTATACAATTCTACTATAAAATATCACAGATCCGTAATATACATTTTTTCGTGTGTATTCATAGCGAACATGATACTTGTATGGTTATCCAAAGTGTAGGCCTATAATTTCACAGAGTAATACGATGGAGTTTATAGAGCCATAGAGTAGACATTTGTCCATAATTTACTCATAGGCCTACTACTCTATTGTTCACAACGCACATCAAGTATGTACATAATGGTGTCAGTTAAAATGAAATTGGTTAAGACCATACTAAACCAATTCTTACTATAAAAAGATTGCAATGCACTAGCATCTAGGAGGATTAAACATAATGTTTAATCCTCCTAGACTAGCCTCGTACGTTAACTGTTGATAACGATGCAGAGTTTAACTTAATAGTTATACTTTTAATTTGTAACTGGGCATAATTTGATATAAGACAGTTTTGTGTTCGAATAGCTTTAACAAAATGATTCCAACTAAAGAAACAGTTATTATTATTGTTAATGCATCATCTCATTTCCCCATCCTTCACGGATATTGTGGTTTGAAGCACATCCAGTTGTGTTTCTGTCCTAATTGGTAATAAATAAAAAAAAATTAAAAGTCTAATGATCAAAAGCTGGATTCACAATAAAACAGCAGATTTTCCACGACAGCGGTATTTTGACCTTTGAGTAATGACGATAGGACTGCAATATACAAAATATGCAGCCATGAAGCATAAGAACGCCATATCTCAATGCAGGGCCGGCGTCTCCGTCGTGGCGCGCGCACCAAGTATCGACTTTTTACTATGTGGCGCCCGAACCGCCATCACAAGTCCAAAATAATTACGCTGCTTTCCCCGTAGCCCCTGTCTTATGGAAATCACCCCTCCTTATTCGACTTGCAAACAAAGTACATTCTTGTATGGATCCTTTTAATGGAAATTTTCGTCGGTGATTCTTTTTTATGAAATATTTATCTAAAGTATTTGTTGGATTTTTTATTCGTCAAATTGACTCCTAAATATTTATTTGTAGGCATATTGGGTATCAATTTAAAGCTCTTAACCTCTAGATGTGCCTTTTGCGGATTTGAATGATATCTTTGACTATTAATACAACATGATATCCCGTGAAAGCCCTTCGTCATAAAAATAGGCATTTAAAATTTCAGAGTTGTGCTGAATTCTGTTGTCAATCATCTGAACGTTTTCAAGTTCAAATTTGTTTACATCAAAACAGGTGGCCGTGATAGAAGTTTGTTTATATCCATACGAAATGAGGTTATGGTTACTATAAAGTTGGTGATGTTTAGTGAATTCAAGTAAAATATCGTGATGTTATTGTATAAAATGGAAAGAAGAAAATGACTTACGTTAGATGTTGAATTGTGATAGGATTTTGTGTGGTCATAGTAAGTTTTATTGATGTTTTGAATTCAAGTAAAATATTGTAACGTTATTAATTTGTTTAACATAAAGAAGAAAATGACTTAAGTTAGATTTTGTATTTTCATAGTATGTTTCATTATTATTTGGGAAAACTAATTATAAAGTTTCATGTTTTCATAGTATGTTTCATTAGTATTTGAAAAAGACTAATTACAAAGTTATGTTTAGGGTATGCTTGAAAAAAATTACAAGTCAGTGATAAGTTAATGATTATCACGTAAAATGTATATAGTTTTCAACTTAACTCAGAGCAATAGAAATTTGCAAATTAATTCAAATATATCATGTATTTTGAAGTCCAGTACAGTATGCATTTTGTTTGCTTTGACACTTACTTTAGTATTTAATCCCTAACAATACTCATAACTTGACCTTCTGACTTCGATCTGACTTCGACTTCGTACCACATCGATGGCTTTTTCAATAGTTATTGAAATAAATGTTGATTTGTCAATGTCATCCACACAATGTGCTCAATTGGTTCATAGGGATACTGTTCAATACTGTTCAATGAAATGGCGACCATACATAGTAGGTATTTTAAGCCAAGTATGAATGGAGATGAGAGTAGGAGGGATACACTATAATGCACTACTGACTTTTCAGGATCAAATGTTACTACTGCTTTGGAAAACCATGAAATGTTTGAGAACGATACCATAATGAAGTAAGCACAGTGAGTATCTTTTCCACAATTTACTATCCTAACCACACAGATTTTCCCTCTGCTAATTCATTTTGTCTGAGTAGCTCTATGATGGTAAAAAACTAGTATCAGCTGTCCATGATAGTTGGGCATTTAATAAACAATCATGGCTAAATAAACAGCTGATCGTAGTCAGTACCAAAGCAACTAACTTATGTGGGCATTACTGTCTTATCATGAAGAATTAATCACGAAATGTTTAATTACACTAATGTTCACCGTACTTTGTCTGGAATGAAATAATAATGGGTATTTCTCTGGAAATAATTATTTATTTATATTCTTTATTAGGATTTTTTTTCTAAATATATATTTTGACTCCATCTTTGCGGGCAGCGGCACCTCAAATGTGTCTCTGGCGCCGGATTCCTGGAAGTATTCAACAGTTTCTGCCACACACAGTGACACAGGCCGACTTAATTATAAGGACCACAATTGGACAAAGCGCCGACAATGTGTGACGACGATTGGCCGCTAGATCTCAACCGCTTGTGTTAAACAGGTGGGTGATGAAAACAATAAATTGGAATATAAACATGGGGAGAAATAGTTAAGAGGGTATTTATTTATACTCTGTTCACAAAATTTAGGCGGTTTTAGGGAAAGAAATCTATCCCCTCCACTTGATCCAACAAAGCCTTCAAAGCAATAGCTCAACAGCTGAGGTTTGCCAAAACATCATCTGCTACAAACATATAAAGAAAAAAAGTTGGGTTACTTCCCCTCATACCACCTAATTTTTGTAATCCGAGTATAAAAGCAACAAATAACTTTAAGATAAGTTTTGGAAAATAAATCTTTCTACATTACCACGAATACTAGAACGGATAGCAGTTTGGATCATAAACATAAACAAATAACGTAAACTGTCCCGAGTCCTATACTAATAACATTAAGATGTGGTTTGACAGTTTTATTTAAGCAATGTTAAATAATGTTTACTTTCGGGCTAGTAACATAATTTGTTAATGTTCATGATCCATATCGCTATCTGTTCTAGTATTCGAGGGAATTACGAGTTGTTTTTAGTTTGAGTCTTAAAGAATAGCCTAAAAAGAAAGATGGTTCGTAATAAATTAAGAAATTATTTTACTGACAAACAATAGCAAATTTGTATTTAAATTTAAGAAAATGATATAAACAAAGTTAAAAATCAATGTGAAAATAGTAATAAGATTATGAAAATAATTGCGATGAATATCTTAATGAGCCTTCCGTAAAAAAGAATACAAAAACCGAAACCGTACACGATTAGGTAACAATGGTTAAGTTTGTGGTATGAGATCAAAAGAATGGGATATGGTAAAATGAAGAAATGAAAGAAGAGGATAAGTTGATAATGAGGATGACAGCGAAACAGAGCAATGGGGTACTGCAGAGAGATTAATTAAAATAAATTTGAGAAGCTAATTATGTTTTTACATTGGGTGTTAGATTGAGAATAACAATGAGGATGGAATTGAAAATCTTTATAGAGATGCTGCAAAAATAATAGTGAGGAAATAGAAGAAGCAAAAAAATAATCATCGGAATGGCAATGAAAACGAAGCTGAGGATGAAGGAAGATGCTACCAAAAACAAGAGTGTGGTAAAGTAAGGATGTACAGGGGGGATAGGATTTGCACTAAAATGACGAAGAGTACGTCTTTAGTATTGCTAGCTTGTAAGTATAATTTAAGACGAGAATTAGTTAGTTTAAGGCGAGTATTAGTTGAAGGACGAGGGTGAAGATAATGAAGACTGGCTAGGTAGCTGAGTGGTTATAGTCCTCGCATAACAATCAAAATATTGTCGGATCAATGCTGAGAAAAGCCAGTAGCTTTTTGATGGTTTTAAACTGGACCCAGATATTCATGATCATTGAACTTTGTAAATAAGTTATTCTGGCTAATGAAATAGCAGATCCTAGTAACACAACTACATAGATCATTTACCTCCATTCTAACTCTTCCTTCACTCATATTTGGGTTAAAATACACTAGGTGGCGTCTCCAACCTCAATTGATAGTTGATAATAAACAAATTGATGGATTTTGGATTGGTTGCTTACCTGAAGGAACATGTCGCCGTCCAACAGGGAGTGGTCGTAGACGGAGAGGTCTCCTCTGCCGCGGTACTGGCCGTCCTCCTTGTCTTTGTGCATGGTCACTGCAACACCAACAAACAGCTGTTAGCAACGCTCTTCAAACTTAAGACAGTACAAGAGGAAACCAACGCCATCAAGATGGTATGGTCATGAAGTTAAAGTTTCTCTTCTACTGGACGAGAAGTATCTAAAGCTAACTGCAACACCTACATTGGCAGATCTCCAGGAGCTTCGCAGCAGTTGGAGAAAAGTATATGCTTGGTAGCGATTTCGTGGCTCGGTACCATCGGTACCACAACTAATATTTATTTGTGCAATTCTCTATACCGTATTGTAGCTTTCCCTGCTTTGCTTGAAATGACGCACGGGTCAAAGGGGCAATGCAAAGTCAAAAGCCGCCAAACTCTTTTCTGAAGCATACAATTCTCTCATACTATACGGGAAACATCTTGAGCTAACGTATGCTAGAATGCAGTTGATCAAATCGACTAAACCAAAAATGAATCTCTCCACTCCTCAACAATTGTATAAACTGAAATGCTTCACATAGATATTTAGATATCCACTCAAATACTTTGCCTGAGGATGATGGAAACATACTAAAAATGCTTATACAACAACTATTTTAAGGCAAAGAAACAATTTGTGTAATGCAGAGATACTAGGTCAACCGAAGTCTGAAATGCGACAAACTTCAAACGAGAAGCTATGAATAAGTTTCTAGTTTAGTTGTAGGAAGCTTTTATTTTATTATCTACTCAACCTATCAATGTAGATCGTAGATCTAGTCAGTTCAAATAAAGTGGTAGATAAGTTTATAAATGTTTCCTCTACCTCTTAATTATTTTAGCGAATACTTTTCGTTATGGCTGGATTGTGCAAATTCACGTTTACCACTTCGATTTTGCAACTTGCAAATACACAATGAATGGATTCGCAACAAATCGTAGCATAACTCACCAGCAATTTACACGTGTATCTAAACAAGCCAACAAATCACCAGACGACACAAACTCTGGGACTCTGGTGACAGGCGGTTACCCCAGTGGTTGATTTATACAGGGAGCTACTTCGAATAAGTTTCCCTATCGGGACAAATTGCCAGATACCGGGATAATGGGCGCGCTCAGCCATAAAACAAAAGTCAGGTGAGGGAGGGGGGCAGATGGTGGAGTGAATGACTAATTTAAAGACCACGATAAATCATCAAAGTTCCCCCAATGATTAGCGGCCCACCTGGGATCGATATGGGACTAGCCGCGCCGCCGTGGAAATGCAAAAACACCCTGACTCACTACTATGGAATAAGCGAACAGTGCGGGTTGGAATGCTTGGAAGGTTAGTTTGTGGGAATGGGTATCAAATGATCAACATTTATAATACTTTAAAGGGAAAAGTAATACTATTCCTGGTACATGTAATGTACAACGTATTTGGTCAAATAGAAAATAATGTGCGACATGCAGAAAGTCTAACTAGAACGGCAAAGTAGGCAAAGTAGGCCGAAAATCTGCTAAGCAAAAATAACATTGATATGCACTGAGGTTTTCAAAGGAGCTGTAAAGTCAACCATTGTTCCGTATTTTTGGCATGCTGTATGGTGCGTGCTCGAAGATTACAGAGGGTTTTGCAAAAGTTATCTTTGTAGCTCCTAACGTGTTCCTCCTAAAGGTACATAAATATGTTACGGGAAGTGTACTGAAGATGAATAATTGTAATAACTATGAAAATGCACTACGAATAGCAAGAATAAAATAACGAGTGTGGGACGAACGAGTTTGTTTCTCATTTGATAGTCTCTTCGGTTATCAATAAAAAATCCCAATGGTCATGGACTGCTAGGTTTAGTATCGAACCGTAAAAAGTTTCTTTTATGACAGAAAAACTATACATCAATAGAAAAACTCAAACCCCTCTATTACCCACCAATTTTAATATTCTGACATTACAAAATTACTTGAACCATTTACCTGGTTTACGGACGGAAGAGTTTCATGTAATGATAATGAACAAACCATCGAAATTAAATTGGTTTATTTTCATGGTCACAAAGCAATGATTTAAAATGTCTTCCATATTTTACCGAGTGCATTGAACTGTCGTGACTAATAATTTGTTAAATAACAAGTTCAAAAGCTTAACAAACACTTCGACGTATGAACAAATTTACGCCGAAATTTCAAAAATTAACTACTCCGCAAATGTTTGCCTCATCTTCCCTCCTTTCATGTCAATCCTGCAGCAGGCATCACGCAACGTCAAGACGACGTTCCATTGGATAGGTTAGTTCTGTCTATCCTGTCTTGAAATAACAAAGGTTTATACAGCGAGAATGCAAAAACTAGAGTCTGGATTTTGATTTCAGAAATTGGAAGTATCCAATTTCAACCCCGCCGGTGTTAGGGGTAGGCCGTAGTCAGTGGCCCGTGAAGAGAAGGGGGCAACAAAGCATTAAAATCGCATTGCCGGCTTGCGTGCCCCCTCAGCCACCCCCTCATAATTACCACGATTGCAACCGCTACCAGGAAGTCCGAGTCCAATTTTGAGGAGACATTAGAATATGGGGTTGCCTGGCCGCCTGACCGTCGCCTGGAGAAACATAAGCGCGCGTGGAACTTTGTTTGTAAAAGGATTTCCTTTCACAATCCCAAGCTGAATTGAGGGGAACTGAATTGTAAGTGGCCATAGAAGCAAACTAAAGAACTTAGTATATTGATTGAGAAAAATTGAATGTATGAGAAATTGAGGAATTTTACCTGCGTATGTTCTTCTCCTTTGTGTGTGTTCTCCTTCAATGGACCAATGTGTTTATGAATTCTTTGGAGGAAAATATTATTAAAACCTTCAAAAAAATTTTTACTTGTATAAGGCAAATTGTTTATACTGTAAGTTGAAAAATACGACTGGAAATATGGTGAAAACGATTAAACACATTTATTACGCAGATATTAATACTATAACACTTACTGTCACTGGTGGTTATGTTACTGGTCACTGGTGTCTTTATCTTGTAAAAAACATCATGATGACCATGATGATCATGATCATGTATGATACATTTTCTCCAAAACCAACCCGTAAGGGAACTGTTTCTCCCCTATGCGTACCGAAAAAAGTAAGTAAAAAGAGCCACAAGCAGCGTGTGGTGTTGCTAAATAGCGTTTCATTTTCAATACCGAATTTTCAATCATGCCGAAACTGATAGGGCAGTTTATTGCAGACCTAGTATATTTTAAGTCTTCTTTGTCAATCATAGTAAGGGTAACGGTTGTTTAACATTATATAACTGTTTTATTTTATCTTCGAGTTAAATGTGTGCTTCAATATACTATGTCAATGTTTGTATTACTAATAAAATATAATAACTAAATAATACTTTTTACGAGAAATAGTTAAAAATCATCTGTCCATAGCTGGACAAATAAAAAATCGTGTAAACTTGCTACCAATTTCCATTCTCCTCTACACGTCTCAATCGCCGCCTCAGCGAGGTTTTGCATGGTGTCCCCCAAGGTCTCGTACTGGGTCCGACGCTATTCAAGATTTACACCTATAATACTACTTACAGCTGTCGCATTATTTATGATCCGAACACAATCGCAGTAACGAGCGCATTTTTATTGCCGTCCGCACTAAATTTCACTCGTTGTAATCCTACAAATAGCTGAAACCACTACTTCGCCACTTCATTATAGCTAGATGTAGAACAGCTTACAGCAGTGCATAAATTGAAATTATTTGTACCGGTGTTAAGGAGGTATTTCGTATTCTAGGAATTGTGATATATTGGTTGACGAATTCCAGGCTAGGCGCTGGGACATTTTTTTCCTTTGCTAGGTTTCGAGTGAATGTATGATTATTCAATTTCCTACTACAGAATTGTCTTTCTTCTTACTATGTCTCGGGGAAGCTAGCTGGTGTAGTGGTCAAAGCGCGGGACTTCGGTTCCTGAGGTCAGAGGTTCAAATCCCGTCAAATCACCAATGGGTTTAATCTAAGTGATAATGCCACAGAACCTAGGTCTAGCCTGAAGTTATGTAAAAAACAATCCCGGGCTCTAGCCTAGCGTCCTAGGACAAAAAACACGATGTCTTTATGCTTATCAATACAAATTGCTCTGCAAAGAAATGACTTACCTTTAACCCTATTTACATTTATTGTAATACTATTCGATTACAAGTTAATGCCTTTCTAAAATGTCATGTCATTATCTCTAAACTGTCTATGAAAGTCCTAATAGTTTTTGTTATGTTTAAGGGTATCAAAGTGGTAAAATTATGCTTCTTTGGTTAAGGAACATCACATGCTCGTTTTTTTATATCTTTCTACAATAACAAGTTTTGGTTACGGTATTTACGAGGAGGAGCGAATCCAATAAGGTTCTTGTCCATCCCAACCATCAATTAATGCTATTACTTCATTTTAGTTCCGAAACGTGAATTACAATTGCAGCTCCTAAAACAATTATTTTTTCTCATATGGCTTCGTTATTTATAATGGTCATAACATTTAATAACCTCAATAAATTCATACGTAATTCTAATCTATCTTCCGCCACAATCATAACACAATTTATCCATCGAAAGCGCTTGTTTGGGGAGGGGTCATTACCATACGATAAACATTCCCAAATATTTTGGAGTGGATGGTTGCTAAGCAACCTGCGCGCGCAACCTCCCCCCGTCAAAATTAAAACCCTTTCAGCTACAACCTCCATAAAGATAATACCCCGGTGCGATAGTGGTCTCATTTTTATTAAAACCGTTTTAAATATTAATAAGTGACTTAATTAAGCCTCGCCCCATTTAATTGAGATGAACGCTTTCATTTGATTAATGTTATGTTGGACAAGTAAACGTTTGTAGCCCTCAGAGGAGTTGTATTATGCAAAATCTTGATGTTGGATAATAAATTGTTGTGTTGAAATATAACTTTGTATAAAAAAAGCCTAAAAATAATTTGCTATATCTACATTAGAAACACATTTAATAATACTCTATAAGAATATTTTGATTGAACGTTAAATGCCAAAAATGGCAAACCTTATTGTTCTTAGTGTAGT